AATTTGGAAAGGTTGGTTACACAGTGATGAGAGCTTGGCAAGATTGTAGGGCATTGTTTCTTGTCCTTCCTAGGGAAACAGCATTTCCTGGAGTGTGGCCTATAAAATGTAAAAATCTGTTCATTAATTCTTCATTCAGTGCACACATACGCATCCCAGATTTTAATGTCTCTGAAATTAGGCTACCTGTTACACAATGTGAGATGATTTTGTTAGCCATGAGGCCTTGCTTAGGCAAACTTACCTGTGCATAAATAAGGCCCATTCATCTGACCATCACTCCAGTCAAGTCTTTTGCATTCCTGTACCTTGTGTGGCTAAATTTAACTCAGGTCCTCAATTTTTGCTTATAAGAGATTATACTTCAATGTTGCATTGAAATGAAACATTTTTATGAAGGCAGAAGACTGACAGTCGCAAGACAACTAATCCAATTTAAGGCAGTAGACACTGCCAAATCTCTTGAAGTAGATCATAAAATGTTGAAAGCTAGAAGTTGATGTGACTTATTTAGGCATTGAACTATTTTATCTGTTAAAAGCTTCCAGCTGAATTTCAAGAGAAACAGATTAACTTCTAGAGACACATACTTAAAATAAGTGTGTAATAGGAAATGCAGATAAAACTCTGAGAGCCTTTTATATAATATAGAATTATAATGTCAATCCTGAGGACCCTAAAGAAATAATATGATGAGTGTAATTTATGAAAAACATGTCAATCTGTTGTTATCCTGAGTATCTTAGGATGATGGAAATCTTCCATTTAGGATTTCCAAAGGTGTATTAAAAGCTCTTAAACATACTATAATAATCTGCTTAGCTTTGTTTTTACCATTATTGCCAAACATACAAAGAAACTAGAACTCCCCTACCCACACCCTCCACTGCCACCACACACACACACACATGCACACACACACCAGCTACTACCATTTACCAGTCCTGCATCCTCGTGAACATACCTTGAGGCATGTTACCCTAGGGAATAGATTATTAGGATAAATTACCTGTTCCTCACTTTTGTAAATGATAAAAACGCGTCCCTTCCCCATCTTTAAACTGATTTCCCCATCTCTTCAATAAATACATGGTACAAAATAATCCACAATTCCTCTTCCTGCCCTACCTTTCAATGCCTGCAATGAGGTCTGTTCGATGGGGAGAGAGAAGATCAACTTTGGCTAAACAGACACTTCTCTCATTTGTAAATATTTTTACAAAACATAAAACCACAACTTATTTTGTGGTTTTCAAGAATAATACATGAATTTATTTGATACTTAACTCTTTGAGATCAGTCACCCTTCCAGTGCCACATTCTGAGAGTGCTATGCCAGCCATCACAAGGAGAACTGTGAAATCAAATGAACCACCAAGGCATTCATTTATCAAGTTCTTTTCGTGTGCTGACCCTATTGTTTGCATGGAGTAAAGTCATCTGAGGCCACAAGAGGGGCTCTTGAACTCTTGGTTGGCCATATATTCTACTTTGGTGGTGGTGGTGTTGATGATGGTGGTTCTTCTTCTTCTTTGTTGTCATCCTCATCACCATCATATCTCATTTCCAATTTACCTTGTATATGACTTCCTAGAAGATTAGATTCTGCATGCTCCTGTTTAACACTTAAGACACTTCTCATCCACTCAGAAATGAAGTCTAATCTTCTTGTATGATTTAACAGACCTCTTACCATTTATCAGACCATTTATATGTGGGCATGGAGCCTACACACACACACACAAACACACACACAAAAAAAATTTAAATAAAAAATGTATCAGACCATTTGTACATTTATAGTTTATCAGAATTTTTTTCCTCTCTATCCCCATCTCTTACCATCTTCCTACCAACCACTATACATTCCAGTACTGCCTGATCTTTGTTTAGTTCCTTGAATGTGCCATGCTCTTTTTCATCTCTGTGTCTACACATTCTGTTCCTTTATCTGAGGATGTTGTCTCCATCCTCCTACCTCCCTCCTTCCACTTGCCTTCACTTGGTTACTGTTTTAATATGGGTAATGCCTTGATCACCAGTACTGAATTAGATGGTCCTCCTATCAGCCCCTGCAGCACCTCCTACTTCCCCTGGTACAGCACTGTCAGGACTGTTGTAATTGCTTTCTTCCTTGTGTATCTTCCCCTAAATTTCAAACTCAGCAGCAGCTTATCTGTTGGATGATTTCAGATGGTATAAGGATCCTATTGAGCTCCAGAGCTCTGTTCAGCAGTGTCTGAAGTCTACTGTCCAAAGCAGAGATATGAAAATATTAAGGATATGGTCTGTTTGAAGTCATGGTAGCTAACATGACCTTTTCAACACCACCACTTTAAAGTGATAACAAAACAAATGTCCAACAATGCACTGGATGCACAAAGCCCAAACAGCTGTGACAAATGTCATATTTTGGAATGATCCCCAGTTGCCTAAGGAATGGCTTACACTCTGGAGTACTCTTACCTAATCTGGAGATCTGAAATTTTCTCTTCATTGTTCTAGCTTTCCTCTTACATGTTGACTGACTACATGTTTGCCTGGCCTGGGGAGTGAGTTTCTCTCTCTTCCTACCACAAAACACAGCTTTTCTTTTGAAGGTATGAATCAAGCTAACTGCCTGGCAATCTGATGTTATAACCATTAGTAACTATGTGTGAAGTCCACTGGATCTAGAAAGCAAGTCTTTTTTTAACTGCAGTTTATTAATTAACTGATATAAAAGTGATGATAAAAATCAAGACTTTTTAAAGAGTCCAATGTGATCTTAACACCTTGAATACATTATATAAGTTAATCCTCTCGATAAGCCTACAGGTAGGTCTTATTAGCCCCCATTTCAAAGATGAAGAGACAGAGGTGCCCAATGGCTTTAATGGTTTGTCCAAAGTCATGGGGCTGGTAAGAGTCAGAGTTCATGTTAGAAGTCACATCTGTCTAATTCCAAAGCCTGTGTTCTTTCCACTCCATGAAGATGCTTCTCAGTGTTACAGAATGGGATAGCCAGTACTTGCAGAATCAATAAAGAAAAATGATTTATTTGGAAACACTTGCTTTTCATCTGCATTAGAATGGAGTAAAAGAGATTCTCTCTCTGGGTTGACCATGCTCAGTGCTCCCTGAAGTGGGGGGCTGCCCAGCGATATCACTATGCTGGATACATCTGTGACAGGTGGGGTCACTGGGACTCAACTACCCTCTCTTCTGAGGATCATTCCTTGAATAACCTTCCTATGTCCACCCAGACAACTCTTTCACTTTCATATTCAGAGCTGGGAGAGCACTGAACCTGGTGTTGGGCAGACGAGAGTTTGAGTCCTGACTTGGCCATTCACCACACATGTGAATTGGATGACCACCTAAATTATTGCATCTCACAAGGAGATGGGGCTCTCACGAGGTCAGAGAGAGAACCACGGGAATGACATCATGCATGTGAGAGAACCCTGGGTGCTATAAAAGTGCTGAACACATATAAGGCAGTATTCTTATACCCTCAAACCAGTAGTCAATAAAAACTTTAGATAACAGTTCCTGTAGACATATCGTCATCAAAACTGAGCACATCAGGAAGGCAGACGTTGTCCCATTGTTTCTCTGCTCCTCCTTGGCCTCAGGGCCTTGAACTCCACAGGGGCTGATCCTTGAGACCTTCATGATGATGATCACAGCCCCCCACCCACATCCACCCCCAAGCTGGAAGGAAGTGGTTTCCACTGCTCCAAAAACATTCACTGTCTGAAATCCTCATCTGTACGTCAAATCTGCTGGCTTACTGTTCTTGTTTTTTTTTACTCTATGTGCATAATAATGTTAACAGTGAACACTTACTAAGTGTTTAATTTGTGCCATGCAAATTGTACTTTCCATACATTATCCAATGTAATTTTTACAGCTGTCTCACATCTTACTGTATAAGTATCACCGTTTTTGCATGTCAGAAAACTCAGAGAAGGCAACCCCCTTTTGTCTGGCTCATCAGGACTCCCCAGGAGAGAGGGATCTGAATGCAGGGCTTCCAGGGTCCAGAGCCCTTACACAGCTTCTAAATCATGCCAGTGACTTTGCTAAATTTTGGCTGTCAAGTCAGAGAACATGGCTTAACCATGATTGTTTTCTCCTAGGAACCAGAAACTTGCATGGAGCAGTTGTTAAATTGATATTCTCAAATTCCTCATCTGAAAAAGGGTCCCTGCTTTTTGAGGTTGTATAAGGATAAAATGATACTATATGTAAAACACATAACGAAGTGCCTCCCACAGATAAACATTCAATAAGGGAGTAGCTACTATTATGTATGGTCCTTGCATGTCATTTTCCTAATCCCCTCCCTCCTCTGCAGCATAATGTCATCAAGCTCAGTGTCAATACTAACATGTCTTTATTTTTGGCCCACATAGAAACCTATACAAAGTCTGTCATCCACGAAAGGTGTAAATGGGCAGGATGTAAGATCCAGGAGGTCTGCTGGGATCTGACTTACAGGGTAATCAGTTTGGGGATCAAAACTGATGACCAGGGCACCTGGGTGGCTCAGTCGGTTAAGTGTCTGCCTTTGGTTCAAGTCATGATTTCAGGGTCCTGGCACTGAGTCCTGCATCGGGCTCCCTGCTCAGTGAGGAGTCTGCTTCTCCCTCTCCTTCTGCCCTTCCCCCTGCTCATGCTTTCTCTCTCTCTCTCTCACTCATGCTCTGTCTCTCAAATAAATAAATAAAATTAAAAAACAAACAAACAAAAAAATCAATGGCCAAATGGGAAGGAACGGTGTCTCACAGGTGGACAGCACTCTACAGTTAGAGTTTAGCAGTACAGCACAATACTGGTGATATGGACTATGGAGTCAACCTGAATTAAAGAAACAGAAGCTGCTACTCTTATTGACTCAGTAAGTACAAATTAAGTGCTCCCTATGTGCCAAGCACTGGGAAACACATTTCACACTCACTAGCTTTGTGAGCTCATGCAGGTTCAGTAAATTCCCCAAGCCTCGATTTACTCACCTGTAAAATGTGCATAACACAGCCTGTGTCAAGGTGTTGTTAGCTCTGTAGGAAACAGTGTATGACCGTTGTGAGAACGGTGCCTGGGTGATAGCAGCTCTGACAGTTCAGCCTCTGTACGTGACCTCTCCACCTCATTTGATTCTCAAAACTGTCTTGAGCATTATTTGTTATTACCATGATCCCCATTCAGGAGGTGAGGGAATCGAAGAGATGCACTCATACTTGCCGCTTGTTCTTGTGCATGGTATGGGGCAGCTGAATGGCAAGCGTGGGAGACAGCAGGCATTCATCAGTCCTTCCGGAGGGAGACCTAAGGACATCTGAACTGTATAGGTTGCCCAGTGGCTGCAGAGGAGAACATTATCCCAGCTGTGTCCAAATCTTCCCACCAGTGAGTCCTAGAGCCCCAGACGTGGCCACGTGAATTTGCTGGGCCTCCAAGAACTGAATGGAGGCAGGAAAACTGCCAGCCTTGGCCTTATCCCTAGGAAAGTTCTGCCACCCCTTGCTGCCAACTCAGACGGTTGTCATATTATTCATGCATGTGGTATCTTACCCAAGAAGTCCTTGGCTCCCCAACGGCTGGCATGGATAAGCAAGCACTAGAAGTCCAGAAATCCAGACCAACAGTGGAAAGGTCTGGCGTGAATTCGGGGGCCTGCTGGGCTCATCAGTGTGTCAATTCTGGGCAAACCAAGAATGGTCTCTTAAGGCTGGCATCCTAGGGGCCAGTCTGTCACCCAGACCATGGGAGCCAAGTGCCATGTTAGACACTGTGTGGGGAGCAGGAAGGGAGGTGTCTGGTCAGCTCAGGCTGCCATGACAAAATACTGGCTGGCTTACACAACAGAAATTTATGGATGCTGGAAGCCTGACAATAAGGTGCCAGCAAGGTCTGTTTCTGCTGAGACATCTCTTCCTAACTTGCAGATGACTGCCTTCTTGCCATCCTAACACATGGCAGAGAGAGAGAGTGTCAAGCTCTCTGGCATATCTTGTTAGAAGGGCACTAATCCCATCATCAGGGCCCTGCCTTTACAACCTTATCTAAACCTAATTAACTCCCAAAGGTCCCATCTCCAAATATCATCACATTGAAGGTTAGGGCTTCAACATACGAATTTGGGGGAGGACATAATTCAGTCCATAGCAGAAGGTAAGCATTTGATTGCATTTGGAGTCTGGTCACTTTTAGCTGATATATTTAAGAGGATCAATGCCAAACTAGGAAATGCAGAGCAGATAAACCATAATAGTAAAGGATCTTAAAATTAAATTATACAAGGAAAAAAAAAAGAAGGAAGAAAAGGAAGGAAGGAAGGAAAGCAGGAAGGAAGGAAGGAAAGAAGGAAGGAAGGAAAGAGATAAAGAAAGAATCCATCAAGAAACTGCTAGGGGCCAGTACTAGCGTAACAGGAGAAAACACTTAGAAAAGCACAGATTGCTAGGGTGCTAATAGAAAGATACCAGAGCCCTAATTACAAAATTACTAAGGTGATGATTAAAATTCAAGATGGTATTTATAAACATTTAGTATTTTCATTTTAATTTTAGGATACAAGTTATGTAGCTGGAATGTCAATTGCAAGTGATATGGATGATCATTGCAAAGGACTAATGCACTGATTCATTAATTACACACATCACAATCCAATTCTCTGGTCAATCCTTCCAGTAATATTCAAATGACTTGAGCAGAACTTTTATTCAGTCTGCACTCATAGGTGAACAGCCTACTATTCAATATTGACCTTTTGTGGAAAATAAGTCAAACGCCAAACCCTTATATCAAGGGACTTTACTCATTTGGTTGGGGTTAAGAACCCATTTGAGTAGCTGTGGAAAGCCATAAACCCTTTCCTCAGAAAAATGCATTAATGGACAAATCTTGACACATAGTTTCATAGAGTTAAGAATCTCAGGCCTAGGGCCACCTAGGTCAGTTAGTTAAACGTCTGCCTTTTGTTTGGGTCCTGGGATGCAGCCCTGAGTTGGGCTCCCTGCCCTCTGCCACTCCCCCTGCTTGTGCTCTCTCTCTTTCTAATAAATAAATAAAATCTTAAAAAAAAAAAAGAATCTCAGGCCTAGACAGTATCATAGTTGGTGCTATTTGGTGAATGACTTAATGAGTGACAGAATGAATAAATATTGAAAACTGTTTTATCAACCTTTATGTATAGTTGGATACTTTTTCCTTCTGAAGAGAGGCTTTCTCCAGACATTTCTAGGCACACATTGTGACATCAGCTGGGCTCTGTTGGGTTCTGCTGGATTTAGCTTCCAGCTGTAGATCTGGGTCAGGTCTGCTCTCCCTGTCTCATTCTGAGTCCAGGCTAAAGGGGCAGTGGACACCCAGTCATGTGCTCACAATGATGACAGAAGCAGATGACAGAAGCAGAAGAACATGGCATACTATGTCATATTGATGACAAGTCAACAGCCCAGAGTCATGGAGGTGAGCATACATTTCAGCTACCATGAAGCCATAGCAGGGGTGTGGGAGGTTAATACTGTTCCAGAGGAATGAAGAATTGAGACCAGTAATCTAATTGGCCAAACTCTCTCCCTTCTATTTACTTCACAGAACTTCACAGAGCTAGGTTTGGAAGGACAAGCTGAAGGAGGTAGAGAAAGATTTCAGACACAGGAACCAAAGATGAAGAATTAGGAATAAACAGATCAATAAACAAAGGGAGAGAGAGAGAATGAGAGCAAGAATCTGAAGAAACAAACTGGGGGGACATTTTTGATAAAGAGTGTCAGTGTTTGAGACCTTATTTTTGTTTGTTGTCTGAGAATTCCTTGAAGTTCTAAGACCTGGATAGGAAGCCAGAAAACCTGAATTTTGTCCCAGTTCTAATATGCTGAGTACTTAATCAAGTTCTTCCCGTTCAGTTTGTTTCTCCATTTATAGAGATGAAGGGTTCCCCCAGGTGAAGTCAAAAGGTCCTTATAGCTTTGAGAAGGCTTATTCTGGTCCACCTGGAAAAGAATGGAGTTATTCTGGAGTTTCCCTCTAGAACTAGGCAAGAAAGCAAGAAGAAGAGATAAACTGGTGATGCAGCTACCCGCATAGCAATGGGCACAGGCAATAAATAGGTTTACAGGTTCCAAGAGAGGACAACGAGACTGGGAAATCCACACTGGAATGTTCCCTCCAGGTTGGCCTTGGAAATGCCTGAGGGTAAAGCATTCTTACCTCCAGTATTTTGAAGGGACAGAGGGAGGGCAATCCTGTATCTGATGCCAAATACATGAAGGCCATTCCAGTTAGTTGATGGAATCCACAGCTTGGAAAGAAAGCAACGTGTTTTCGCAAGCATTTCTAGGGAGCCAGCTCCTCTGGTTTCCATTCACACCAAATAACCTCAGGTCAGCAAATGTGGAAAGGATGACCTTGGCCAAGGCTTCCAGTAGCCAAGCCTAACGAGGCTCTAGGGAAAAAGTCTTCAAAGAGTCCACAGATATTACTTACTGGGTCTGCCAGAGAGACTTTTGACCAGAACAAAGCAGGGCTGCTAAGGTGGGCCAGGCAGTAGGAAGTGCAAAAGTTCTGTGCTAATAGCTATGGACTATGGACATTTCTACAAGCTGCTCTTTGGTGGTCTGACCTGGTTTAGCCAAGGGGCTGTGCCAGGGAGAGCCACTTCACATAACTTCTCTGAAGAATCAGAGAAACCAGGAAGTTTGACAACCTGCTTAGCATCACTTAGCAACAGGTATGACTGGGAGAGACCTGAGTTCTGGCTCTGAGTCACCTCCCCCCACACGCACTCCTGAATGATCTTATACAGGTTACTCTCCCCCCTCTGGGTCTTAGTTTTCTCACTGTTGAAAGTAGGAACTTGGTTTTACCCTGCAGCTTTGGAAATATAGAAAAGCGAGCTTTGCTTTAAGCAACTGATTAGGCAGAAATTTTTACTCTAGACTGGTGTGTGTGTGTGTGTGTGTGTGTGTGTGTGTGTGTGAGAGAGAGAGAGTGCGCGCGCGCGCGTGCAGCGATTTTATAGTGGAGTTTATAAACCAAGGCTAAGAGAAAGGATTTCCTAGGGTCAGTCCAGTTGGGTAAACATGATTTAGGCATATTGCTAAATTCAGGAGGTAGAGGAGTGAATAAGGCTTATGTCCGTCTCTCAAGGAGTTTACAATTGGTGGCAAGACAGACCTGTAAAAAGATAATCACAGAATAGTGTGGTGGGAGCAACAAAGGACCTCATACAGCCTACTGAGAGAGATAGAAATAAGGCAGGGGCAGAAGTAGACCCTTCTCCAATGAGTGGTAGGAGGGAAGATTGAAAGAAGGCTTGCCAGCAGGAAAAAAAAGAAAAAAAAAACCTGCATTGTCTTCTTTGATGATTGTGGGTTATCTTAAGAAAGTAAGGAGTGACTGGAAAAAAGATAAACGAAGGCTTTCCAAGACAAAAGGCAAAGCATAAGGCATGGAAATGTAAAGGAGGTAGCATAATAATGCGATATAACTGGAAACCATCTGCTTAACTCAATGTTGCAGGATAAAGCAGAAGAAAATGGCACAGTAGGGTAATCTGGGCTCAAGCAAATATGTTCTAAAAGCAAATCCATCCTTTTTTTGTTTGAAAATACCTTATACAATATTTTGATATATAAAATGTTACAAAGAATAAAATAATTAACACCCATATTACCTGTCATTCCGTTTGAGAAATAAAACATGGCCAATATAATTACAGAACCTTGCGTTCGCCACCCTGAGCATACCCATGGAGACTGAATTCATCTCTCAAGGTTGGCATCACAGTAATTGAACTCTCAGGAATGGGATATAAAGTTGGAATTGTAATTGATTAATTTATATTGTGAAATCTAACTGTCACATGGACTGGAATATGACTATCCCTGAAGTCAGTACATTCCTTCCCAGTACCAGGCTAACGGGTACACCACATCTTCAAAAGCCAGTTTGACAGTTAACAGTAAGAAATTCCAGGCAGTCTGACCAGCTTATTCTTTCCCAGTGGCTAATTCCTCATGAAATGTCAAATTATAGACATATGTTCTCTTGGTAAAACTGGAGTCAAATGAATCAAAAGTCAAGTAGTGCAAACTTAAGGTAGCCTGATTCATATCTTCTTCCCTTCCTCCCCCTCTCCCTTCCTTCTTTCCTTCCTTCTTTCTTTCCTTCCTTCCTTTTTCCTTCCTTCCTGTGGTTGCAAGATCAAATACAGAATACCTAGTTAAATCTGAATTTCAGGTAAACAACAAATAAATTTTGAGTATAAGTATTGCCAAATATTGCATGAGATGTATGAAAAAAAATTACTCATTGTTCAATCTGAGATTCAAATCAGACTGGGCATTCTATATTTATATTTGCTAAGTCTGACAGTCCTATAATCCTTCCTTCCTTCCTTGGACAGATATTGAGAATCAATGACATGTTAGTGAATGGGACATTTTTTATACATTCTTGCTACCAGTCACTGTTAAACTCCCACCTTACATTTTTAGGAATTTCTAACTTTCTGAACCCTATCTCACAAAGGTGGAATGAAATGAATTCAGTCCCTCAGGTCATCTGGCTCTACCAGTGAGATTCACCCTTATTAAACTTTGATTGGCAATTCAGCAACTATGGAAGGAAGCACCACTCAGAATCCTTTTTATCTGCAGGGTGGTCTCAGAGGCACCCAGCTTTTGGTAGTAGGATTTTTTTTCAAGATCAAGTCTGGTGGTTTTCTTTACAGAGTACTCACTAGGACAGTAGCAAGGACAGAGGTATGCTTATCATCCCAGTTCTGCAACATGGTTTGGAACACT